GGGCTGGGTTCTTTATTCGCTATATTTACCAAAATTTCATCTGTCCCTTGATGATTTTTATGGAGGTACCTTGTCGTGTAGCAACACCTACTGAGAATAAGTTTTTCTTCAACTCGGGCACATAAAGAACATTGAGTAGTGTACCAGGTAGCTACGTGCCGTCAATTAACCGTTCAATCGGAATAGTACCGCGTCTAACCGCTTTCAACTGTCCGTCGTTGGCAAGGGTTAAGCTCAGTGATGCCAGAAACAGGTCCCGCGGCTCACGGCTCAGCAATGGAAGGGGTAACGCACACAAGCGCGAACCGCGTACATGTGCCACATATACGCGGTACGCGCTTGTGTGCGTTACCCCTTCCATTGCTGAGCCGTGAGCCGCGGGACCCGTTTCTGGCATCACTGGTTAAGCTCGATGTCTCCTCGATGTAATCCGATCCAAACCATTTGCTTCATTGACCATATGCATTGACGTTCCGCTGTCGGCCACGAACGCACTGCTCGCTGATAAGACTGTGTCGGTTATCGAAAAACAGCTATTGGCACCTGCTACCGCAACCTGTTTGTCACCTTTCTTGTTTTTATTTTTTTTCTCTTCTGGACAATCTCTTGCGTAATGATTGCCGATCTTATTGCATGAATAGCATTTGATGGCATTCGCTGGCTTCTTCTCCTTTTCGGCGCGGGCCAGCTTTTTCTTCGGCATCAGCACATGGTCGCTCTTCACCAGGTCGGCTGTACGGGATTGTCCCAATTGCGCACATTACCGATCGGACACGACAATATTTCCCAATCGGACACAGGCTCGATCGGACACAGACCCAATCGGACACAATCCCGATCGGACACATACTGTTGCAATCGGTCACAGTCCCAATCGGACACAGGCTCGATCAGACACAGACCCAATCGGACACAGTTCCCATCGGACACATATGGTTGCAATCGGACACCATCCCGATCGGACACAGTATATCAGAAATATATAGGTTTGGGTTAGGTTATATCTTCCGGAAGTGGAGTCCCCCCATAGGGGGGGGGCGGAACATACTGCCTCCAGGCATATACTTTTTAATGCGTAGTAAGGTTCTACATAGGTTTACAACTTTCCAAACGAAGCGAGGTTCAACGCAAATCTATGTGTTTAGTTCTTTGATAGTGGAGCTTCCCCGTAGGGGGGGGGGGGCGAAACCCACTGTGTTCACGCATACATTTTTCCATCCACACAACAATTGTAGAGTGGACCTAGCTTCGCGATGGGGACTGTGTCCGATCGGAACTATGTCTAATCGGGTCTGTGTCCGAACGGGTCTGTGTCCGATCGGGTCTGGGCCCGACGAACACCGGTCGGGCCAATGCGGAGACGCCGAGCGCCCATTTTTAAACGTAACCGAAACGCGCGTTTATCAAACCGCTGTTTAGGCGCGCGTAAACATCTCGAATCGACGACGCGCTCGGGTAACCGACCCGGCCATTACCGAAAATACCCGAGCCGCGCGCGCCGTTTCGAGATATTACCGTTAGAACAATACGCGAATTACGCAGACGCGCGCGTCGGAAAATTAGTATAAATAGCGCGCGTTTTCAGTTATCGAGACCAGACCTTTCCGATCTAGCAGAGTCAGTAAGACGTCTGAAACCTTCCGCAATCCTGCTAAAGCTACAAAGAGAAAGAAAAGTTTGCGGCATCTCTACGAGCAATCCTGACAACCCCCGAAATCAAGAGGTAAACGGGATCAGGCGTACTCGACCCAGCCGAGAGTTCTCGGCCCCTCGCTAGCTTTCCGTCCACCTTGTGCATCGGCAGCGTTCTCGTGGCAAGGGAGTTCCCTACCACGGACGGGAGTTTTCGTCAGCCGACGCATCCCGCAATCCGCACCCGCGATCCCGATACGCGAATAAAATCTGACCGTAATACATCTCGACGGACCGGCTGTAATCCGCCATAATTAAGGCCGACGCGCCATTATTTCGGGAGCAATAAGTCCCGCACCGATGGACGACCCGCGCCCTGCCGCGACACCGATCGACGTACCGGATCGATAAGCGCGAATAAGGACCGTCCACCGGCGCGCCCGAAAACTCACGATCCGACAGCTAACGGCTTCTGCCGGATTTACGCGACGCGATTTATAATCGATATTCGACCGAATACCCGAAAGCGCGAATCGCGCTGCGCGCGATGCACCCCCGGCATTGCATACTCACCCACATACACAGGGTATATAACCACATGCCTCCGTACACGTACCCGTAAATTATACGCGACTCGCACACAGACTAATATTGTACATGCGCACACACACACGCACACACACCTCGTACACCTATACAACTCTCGTTGTACTACACACACACACTCAGACAATAAATTATATTTTACCAACAAATAGTGTCATTCGTGTCTCGATAACCCTTTCACGAACCCAGGATCCCGACCGAGTTGTCGGAATTTAAATACCCATATCATATACTAATTATAAAAGGAAATTTGTCGCCATTAAGGCAACCTAAAATTGGCCAAAATTCATCATCTGTACTCTTATGTAATTAGACACTATCGATATTAATGTCCACCACAATTTGATTTTTCTTTTGCAGATAGTCATCAGTTAATATTTCATCAAAGTTAATCTTGATACTTTTATACCACATTATGCCTTGACCAACTTCTTTACAGTACGAGGAGTATGAAGAATTGTTTTATATGATTTTGGCAAACCAGGGAAAAGAACTCGCAACTCTGCTAAAAGCTTATCCATTTTTTTGAATGATATATCTCGAATGCCCCACTCTGTTAAGAAGTTCAATAAATATGCTTCTATATCATGAATAGGACGATCTCTCAAATATTCAATGTCACATTTAATTTTATCTTTTAATTCATCACTGCTATTGTGTTCACTATATTCAGTATCTTCAGTTTCATGATTTGGTGGATTACGTATTAATATATTTTCTAGAATTAAATTATTATCCTAAACGTTATTGCTTTTATCAATACGCAAAGCAGGTAAAACACGAGAAACGTTACAGCATACTCCATGAAATACATCTAATATATTTTCTATCTCAGTCAATTCTATTCTATTCTACCAGAGAGAAGCCTAAGAGCGGCCATCCCGGCGTTTTCCGTACAATAGCTTTTCGGTCCCGTACAGCAACGCCTCTACGTCCATTTTACAGCCGCTTGGAACTACATAGCCACGTCCACTTTCGATGGCATGGTAAACCACCGTTTGGTGTGAGTCCGTGCTACGTCCACAATTGTAAATTCACTAATACGTCCCGCATATAAATGTATTATTAAAGTAAATCTCGATAAAACGATTCTAGAAAACAAAATAATTTTTTTAAGATAATTCTTGTACGTATAAAATAACTTATATTTTGTATAATATTTTTGTTATCTTCGTTAAATGTTACCCTGCCGAAAATGGTCGATTAAAACGGATTTAAAAAAATGTAATCCGAATCGATCGGGATTTCTGCACCGAAAATGCGGTATTAAAACCGATTGAAAATAGTCAAATCGAATTTAGTACGCTTCAGGCGAGATTAATGTTGGATGATATATCTCCACCTCAATCTGTATTAAAAATTATTTTCCCCCTTTTTATTACCTTTGCAATAAAAGTATTAAAAACGTAAAAAGCAATACAAGTATGTAAGATAAGTAACGATTAAATTGATATCATTGCTAACGATATGAAGTGGTTAAATGGGAAGTGTTCAGTTTCTCACGCCGTAGATCAGAGTTCGGATCCGCAGTTTGCCGAGATTCTTTTTTTTATTTATTTAAATCTATCGTATGCTTATACGCATTTGAAAAATGCGATTATATAAAGCAAAAAAAAATATTTAAAAATTGTTTTATTCATATTTATAATGTTGTAAAAATAATAGTAAACAATATTAGAATGTTCTAACGTCAATATTATTAATAAAACAAATATATATATATATATACATACAATAAAATATATAATCAACATTTAAAATATAATCAACAATTTGAAAAACGAATTTGTTAATGAAAATAGGTAATGGAAAATCAAAAAATAAAAATTCTGGCAATGTATGAATTAATATAAATAATTAATTTTATAAATTATATTAACATATTAATACATTTCTTATAAAATTTATTTTTAGATACTATATTACTTAAAAAATAACTGAATATCTGTCATCTGTTATAAGGATAATAACATTTTTCAAAACTATCTCTTCTATAAAATAGAGTCTAAAGTTTATACTTGCATACTATTTTTTTATAATCTGTATTATTTTAGTTAAAAGAAGTGAAAAACGTTTCTATTTAATATAATATATGCTAAAACTTAAAAAATTACAAATGTATTATTTAACATACATATGTGTATATATTAAAAAGAATATTTTTATTTGAAAAAGATGTACAGTATAAAATATTTGAAAATTTATGCAAATATAAAAGAATTTATGTGAACAGAAGCCTTAGCACAGATAAGATTAATATAAATATTATGTATATAATACAAAATTTATAAGAAAAAAGATTAAAATATGTTTAATGTATATTTTTTGTATTATTTTTACATTCACCTTTGTGTATACTAATCTGCCTCCGATAACGTGTCGTGGAATTTTATTCTCCCGTCTGCTCCGCACTTCGGCGGATTGTGGGAGACGGGCGTACGGAGTGTCAAAACTCATTTGCGCCGCGTGTTAGGGAGTCACATGCTCACATTCGAGGAATTCTCGACCTTGCTATGCAGAATCGAAGCGTGTCTTAATTCTAGGCCGATTGCGCCCATCTCCGATACGCTTGAGGACTACGAGGGTCTGACCCCCGGTCACTTCTTAATCGGATCAGCGCTTACTGTAAACCCGGAACCATCATTGCTCGATCTCAACGAAAATCGCTTGTCGAGGTGGCAATTAGTCCGACATGTCACTGAACGATTTTGGAAATTATGGAGCAACGATTATTTAAACACGTTGCAACAACGAGCAAAATGGCGAAAGGTAGAACCGCCGATTGATACCGGGCAACTCGTCCTCCTGCGTAATCCTATGTTACCTCCCTGTAAGTGGGAACTGGGCCGAGTTACGCAATGTCATCCCGGTTCCGACGGCTTCGTACGGGTCGTCGCCGTCAAGACGGCCACCTCGGAATTCA